AACAACAACTTGCTCATTCTGATCACTCAGATTATTCAAATGAATTGGCCTATGACTATCCACAACAAAGACACGAGCAGCAGGACCTAACTTCAACACAACCTTCAAATCACGGTGACAACCCCAATTAATCAACAATATAGTAACAGGAGGACTATCCAACGAAGTAGAACACAACCCAGCAGGACCAGCGTACTTGTGAATCTCCAGAAAAGACGATACAGGATAACACGAATACTGAATCGAATCTGATTCCAATATATGAGTTATAACCTTAAGCGCACAGAGTGAATCAACATCGGATGTTGAAGGAAATATCAAAAGCGGATTCTGTGAAGACAATGAAGTAGCTGACTCACGAAGCTTCGCATAGAACGATTCTACTTTCTGAATCCTCACCATATCCTTGAAATTGGATTACCCAGAAATCACAATTCGTAGATCCAGATGTGAAAATAATCAAATCCCCAAAACCCAGCTAAATTAAGAACCCTAGAATATGGCAAAAGCAGTGTGTCTACAAATTATCTAACGGAGGCCATTAATTTCTCACCAGATTGAGGAATTTGTGATGAGATCCACAGCCAAAGTACCTGAGACTTGAGTTCTTCTATGGTAGCTTTCAAAGTCACCAACTTTTGGATTCGTTTCTCTCTTCTTCGGCTTCTTGACGACGACGATGATTACAGGAAAAGCAAATGGAACAAAAGAGGGAGAGGGAGAAGAAGAAGAAGAAGACTAAGAGAGAGAGCGAAGGAGAGAGAGAGAGAGCGAAGGAGAGAGAGAGAGATAGAGAGAGAAAGGGTCTAAGGAGGAAGTGTGAAGATCTGAAGGTGTATTTGATTTCTCTCTTTGTGGTAATGAAAAATTTGAAATCTTTTTTCATTTTTGAGTTCGCCGGCGAAATCTTGAAAATTTTCGAAATTTTTTGATCGAGCGCCAGAAATTTTTGACGTTGGCGCTGAACCTAAAAATGAGGAAGAAGGAGGAAGTATCTTATGTAATGCACCCCAGGATAAAACGTGAATCTGGACCGTGTCTTTGTTCAGCTTGCATTAAAATAATCGACGGTCGATGATTAATAATGTTTAGTCAAAATCAAAAGTCCTTATTATCTATAGAGTAAAACCTCTATAATTACTACTCGGTAAATTAATAAACTCTTCCGGTTCCAAGTTGGACCGCCCTAAAAAATATATAATTTGATAAAATAATAAGATAATTACTATTTAAAATTCTATGTAAACATATGGTTTCAACAAGACCATAAATTAATAATTATATACAATATGGATATATATATATACACAATGATTTTTGTTAAAGCTTATTCCTAATATTTTTCCGTATCAAAAAAAATTAATGATCTCTCTTAAAACATGGTACTTATTATTTTCCTTGTAATTAAATTCTAAAAAATTAGTTGTAATGATTAAATCTTATTTTAAAATATACTTTTTAAAAACACTTACCAAATTAGAAAAATATATCGATAAATTAATTGAGCGAGAAATTAGTACCTCCATAAATTAATAGAATTTTATGATTCCGACATGATTATTTTATAAAGGTTTTACTTTATAAACGATAAAGTCTTGTATGTTAATATTTATGTTTTATGGCAAAGCCTTCTGAAAATCTTTGCGATTCTTGAAGTTTACAAATTCTTTCACTTGTTAAGCTGGATTAAAGAAAATAATAATTTAATCGTCAATAATAAATTAGTGTATTTTATCGTCGTCTTAACTCAAATGAAAACGAATCACAACAAGCTATGATAATTAATTACTTATATTTTTGAAATGTTTAATGACAATAAGAATGGGTGATTTTGGAATTAAAATAATCAAAATGAAAATCATTTAGTGAAGGAAATACTAAATCCTTATCTTCTGTTTTTTTTTCAACAACATTATTTCCTTTAGTTAGTTTAGAGATAATTAAAATAGTTTACTAAAATTCTTCTCTCATATTTGTTTCATCACATTTTAAATATATTTGAAGAGATGAATGCTAGCAATCAAATTATAGCTTGAACTTAGAAAGAACAACTTTTCTTTATTAGATTTAGACTATCACAAAACTAAATTTTAATTTTATCTAAATCTTATGGAACTATAGGCTCATGTATATTATATAGAATTAAACTAAAGAGTAATTCAGAAAAAGCTAGGGAATATCCCTTGTTTAAATTTATGTATGTTAAGTGTTGTGTTCATCATATGTACGAAGTCGCTTTTAAATGGATGATTTAATATCTAAAAAGTGTAAAATTAATAGTTTTCTGCTTTTAAAGGAGAAAATATTCATCCGTTAACAAAAGAAGAATTACATGGATATATCGATTTTTTGCAATAAAGTGGCTGAAGAAATGTTTGGAAGATATGTCATAATTTATATTTTTGTAATAAAGATTTGAAAAGGAACTACAGTTGTCATGATAATTAATATCATTGTAATATATCTTTCTAATTTTATTATATTTTATTATATCGAAAACATAAAAATAAAATTAAATGAACTGAAAAAGTCATCAAAGATGTTTTTCTATTGCTTTATTCATTCAGATTTTAATATTTTATTCGTATTAGATGGTCTTCTTTATTCAGATTTTCTCCAGTATGAAGTGTCATGAAAATCACATAGAATAAATAATAACTACTTTTTGAATGTCTTCAAGATTTAAATTTAAATTTTATTAAAAGATAACTAAATTTTGAACATTGTTTAAAATCAATCATTTGTTTACTTTAATTTTCAATAAACTTATTTGTAAAAAATATTTGATTGCAATTAGAACAAGTGATTCTGGAATCAAAATAATTGAAATCAAAATCATTTAGTTAAGAAGATATTAACAAATTTAAAATCATCCAAACCAAACCAAAATCATATGTATTCACAAATATAGATTGGGAGGTCCATTCGGAGATTCAACCAAAAAGAGAACCTTAGTCTTTTCCCCTTTTGAGGAGGGAAATTATAAATAAGAAGAATAAGTGAAAACAAAACCATAGTTTGATGTCGTCGTTTCTCCGATCATAACACTAAGATACATTTCTGGGATAAGAGTATATCTTGAAATTTTGTTAGTGATCTATTTTGGTTTTGAATTGTGTGTCTTGAAATTTTAAGTGTGGGTTAGTGTTTAGATTTTATAACTAGACGAGGTTAAATGTCTGTTTGGGATTATAAAAAAAGAAGTTGGGTTTTGATTTACAATTAAATAAGGTTATATGCCGGTTTGGTTTTATAAAATTTATATATTAGTTTAGATTATACAATTAAATTAGATAATATGTCTGTTTGAGTTTAGAAAATATGATTAGGATTTAAATTTTACTATTAAACGAGATTATATGAAAGTTTGAGTTTATAAAGAATAATTAAATTTTAGATTTTATGTATCCTTTTGGGTTTATCTAAATTGATAATTTTGTTAAAATTTATTTTCTTACTATATTTTATTTGTTTAAATTTTGTTAATCAATTAAGACACAATGATGGTAAAATTTGATTTTAAAGTTTATATTAAGAGTATACTAGATTTTAACCCGCGGTACACCGCGGAACAACATTCCTAAAATGTATTCTTTTTATTAATTTTGTTTGGTATATAAGAGTGTACAACTATATTTTGATTGTTAATTCTATGATTTAACCCGTAGAATATTATATGATAATTTATTCTTTATATAATCGTAATTTGATCAAATTAATTAAATAAGTATAATATTTAAAATAATGAAATGATATTGACATAATATTCGTTTACATAGTAGAATTTTATATTAAAATATTTTGTGAGTTATACTATAGTAGACCACCCCTAAAAATATCTATAATCATAATTATGTAAATTATTACTCGTTCCATCACATGACCCGTGCTACACAATTATCAACAATCTTTTAGTACATCCATGTTTGTATCGTTTGGGTAATATACATCCGTTTCTAAAAATTCAAATTGCATTATATGCAAAAAAAAATATTTTTATTATACATATATTTATGTAATAATATAAATTTAAAAACAAATAAAATCATATAAAGATGTTGGAGAAATATTTGATTTATTAGGGAGAGATTTTAGGAAATTTATTAAAAGTAATAAATATTGATTTCTAATTTTACAATTTTATTATGATTTAGGCCTTGAATGGCAACAGTTTTTAGATTAGTTTTTGGTTTTTGATTTTTAAAAACCAAAAAAATTGCCATTCACGATTTTACAAAAAGTGATTTCCTTAAATTTAGGGAAACTAGATTTTATCAGATTTTAGCAATTCCTTCATAGAATCTAAAAACCATTTTTTCCAACTTTCTAACAATATTATGTGACTTTTTCTTATTGATTATTAACTTTTATTTTTTTCATATAAAACCAAAAACTAAACAAATTACCATTCAAGATTTTGCAAAAACTAAAATCTACCGCAAAAATCAAAAACTAAAAAACTAAAAACCAAAAGCCAAAAACCAAAAACCAAAAGCTAAAACTCATTTAAAAACTACAAATTTATCTTAAACTTTTTACTATATCTATATTAAACTTTTTAATTATAAAATTTATTTTAAACTTTTTCAGTTTAGTCAAATGGTCAGGGGTTAATTATGAAAATATCACAAAATAAAAGGGTATAACACAAAAGGTACTTCAAAAATGTTAATATAGATATATGCGTGTGTGTTTTTTTTTTTACACGAACAACCAAAATGTTTAAATATCAAAGTAATAAAAACATGTGTGAGAATGAGTCTATGTATTGTATTGAAAACAATGAAAAATTGTTGATGTTCTAACGATTTTTAGCCTTATATGCACACAAAAAAAATAGTAAAGAAAAACTTGCATCAAACTATCAAAGTAGAAAAGTAGAAAGATCAAAACAGGATTTAAAGATGTTTATGTATGTGTCTTGGGTAAAGTAGACTTGCCTCATTTTCAATATAGATTGGTGCAGAGTTAAAAGGCTTTAAACATTAGAGAAAACAAACTTGGAGGTACCTAAATATCTCTGATTCTTATCAAACTTGGATATAATGAATCTGCAAGCAGGTCCAAAACTTGAATGTGTCTTATGAAAACACCAAAAGTAGTATGAAAAATTACAAAATATTACATACAAAACTATACTATAAAATCTTATGCAAGTGGTACTGATGCCTTATTTCATCTAAAAAAGCTCGAATGTCTGATCATTAAGATTAAACACTGATTTCTCCATAGCTATATACAATCTTCTGGATACATTTCCCTTTCATTTTCCTCCAAAGCCAAAGCAGCAACACTGTGTCAATTGCAGAAAGACAAACCAATGTTCAAAACACTATTCGAATATGTTGTTTTCACTGATTCTACTTGAAGAAATGAGCTTTAAGAGATGTCTTACTGAGGAAGTGTTGTTAGGGTTACGGGGGACTGGATGAGTCGGCGTTCTTGAAGATCCACTCGCGTTTGGTCCAGAACTTCTCTCTTCGCGGACTTTATTGAAAATGTGTGTGTATCCATCAGCTGATGACGGGTTATTCTCGTCCCAGTCACCGAATTTTGGCACCACTGTGACTTTTTCAGGCTGTAAAACAGTTTAAAAGCTCAGATAATTCAGAACCATAAACACACAGAAGCAACAGACAGATAAGTTCAACCAAGAATCTGACATTCTCTGAAACAAGTGATGCAAACATATAGACAAGATTCAGCCAAGAATCTAACATTCTCTGAAACAAATGATGCAAAGAAATAGACAAGGTTCAACAAGAATCTAACATTCTCTGAAACATATGATGCAACAAATAGACAAGGTTCAACAAGAATCTAACATTCTCTGCAACAACTGATACAAACAAATAGACAAGGTTTAACCAAGAATCTAACATTTGTCTGAAACAAGTGATGCAAAAAAATAGACAAGGTTTAACCAAGAATCTAACATTTGTCTGAAACAAGTGATGCAAACAAAAAGACAAGGTTTAACCAAGAATCTAACATTGTCTGAAACAAGTGATGCAAACAAATAGACAAGGTTGAACTAAGACTCTTAATATTCTCTGAAACAAGTGATGCAAACAAACAGACAGTTTCAAAGAAGACAGAATTGACACTCATCCTTCAAATTATTGTGGTAAAGGTGAGATTCTTACGCTTTCATCAGCTCTAAGGTTAGCAGGTTTAGGCCTGGTTCTTCCAGTGCCATCATATGAGTTCTTATGCAACGGTGACTTGTTGTCGTAACTATTGTTCTGAGAAGACCTTCCTTGTTTTTTGTTAGCAGCCTCATTTGATGAGCCACCAGCATCACCAAACTGCTTCAACTCACTCTCTTCTCGGCTTCTTGTATGGTCACGCGATCTTCTAACAGTGTCAACCTGCTCAGGTTTGGTTCTGGAAGGAGGAGGAGCTTGTGATTGAGAATCAGAGTTATACTCCGGGTCATTCGGGTTCATGATCTTACCACCTGGAGCTCGAGTCTTACGAGCTTTGTCAAAATAAGCTGTGTAAGGAACATTCTCCTCAGCTTCCCAGTTTCCAAATTTGGGTACATTAGAACGCTGTTGCAACATACAATACAATTAGTTCAACAAACAATGTCTCTAACAAAACCGTTCATTAGCATTGATGAGGTAGAAACATAAAAGACCCTAGAGAACAATCATCACATAAGCCAAGATACCAACAAACAACAACAACAACACAATAAGGATCTTTGCAGATTCAATAAGAATCCAAAACAGAACAAGAAAGACAACAAATACCAAATTTGAATTTATCGATTTCATTCAAGACACAAAGCATAAAGGTGAAACATTGCTAATCAAAAACAGAAACTTTTCAACAAAAATAGCAACTTTAATGTAACCTGAAATCAGAGAATCATAAAGCTGAAGAATACTCTGATCAGATGAAACAATCAATAGGAAGAAGGAACCATAAATGCGACTAGATATCTCCAAAAGACTTTAAATTTCAAAGAATGATAAGAGTAAAAAGAAAAATCTCAGAGAAACCTAAAGAAGAAGGAAAGAAAGAAAAACACTTACTGCCATGGGAGAGAGAGAGAGATTGTGAAAAGAGAGGTAGCTAGAGAATTGAAGTCTAAAGCTTTGTTTGGTTTGTGAGAAAGAGAGATGTGAGAAGGAGAAGAGACGAAGAAGAAGAAGTTTTATCAAAGCGTTGACTAGTGTGATGCTATGTATTCTTTGACCCTTCTCTTCTCTAATTTTCTTCTTCACCTCTCTCTCTCTCTCTCTCTCTCTCTCTCTCTTTCTCGCTTGTCTCACTCCAACTCTGTTAGTTTTTTTTTTTGCATTAACTTTAACGCCGTTACCGTTAAAGGCGGCTATATTTTGGTGTCCATGTTATAGTGTGTCCTCTTAAAGTCGTAGTTAATGTTTGTGTCCGAAGATTGGGTTATGTTATGTTTATATGGGTCGGACTCGGAGCACCATTTTGGTTTGTAGTGGTACCATTTTACCAATTCGATAAGTTAACCCCAAAGCATACTACTTGCAATTTTTGTGGGAACAAAACAAAACAAAACAAATATTTTAATAAATGTGTGGTTGATAAAAAAAAACAAATATTTTTATTTTATAGAGAAATTCCCTAAATAATCACATTTTAATACTTATTTTCCAACAAAATCTTTCTAGTTTAACTTTTTTTTTTATAAAAAATACTATAAAAGGATTTGCTTTCTAAGAATACCACAAATAGAAAAATTATTTTTTAAGAGTATAGATTTATTTTTTTGAGTTTGAGTATTTTGATTGAGGATATAGTTTTTAAGAGGTTATATGGTTTAGTGATTAGGATTTAAGGTTTTGTTTGAAGGTTGGGAGTTTAGTTTTAGCTTTGAAAGTTGAGAGTTTAGTTTTAGTTTTATGGTATTTTTAGTGGTAGTTTTGGAAAATAATTAAAAATAGTATTTTTGAAAAAAAAAAACTTATTTTAGTGATATTTATGAGAACTGGTATTTTATATATATCACCATTTATGTGTATATATATATATATATATATATGTGTGTGAGTGTGTGTGTGTGTATGTTTACACTAATAAATTTAAGAAAGAAAAACTGAAATTGAGTAGCAAAATAATAATAATAAGAGAAACATAAAGTGTTCTACAATAGATACATGAAGAAGAAAAATTTCACAGTGTGAAAATAGAAAATGAGAAATGTGATTAATGAAGGGTGGTTGACTAAACTACTACTCTATTTTGTATTTGTATTTTTTTTTAAATGTATATATCTCTTTTCATTAATGAAATTTATAGGAAAATTTGATTTAATCCACTTTGAGTCTTGAGATATTATTTCATAACTGTTACAATAAAAAGAATTAATGAGAATTGCCCAAAAAAAAACTATTTTTATTATGGTCACCACTCACCATTCAATTTATTATTATTATTTTTTTATCATACCAACTCTTATCATATACAATATGATACCTATATGATAGTAAACAACAATATGAAGATTAATTAGAAAAGCAGATTAAAATGATAATTTAAAAAAAAAAAGAGAAAAAATGGAGGCGACTTTTTGTGTTTAGCAAAGTCAATGCTGCCTTCTTCTTATAAGTCTCATTACACCGAAAGGCCCTTTTGAGAATTTACGTACCTCTTTCTTCTTATTAGTCTCGTGAGTACAATACTCGTGGCATCTTCTTCAACCACCTATTATTTAACCAATCAATACAAGTTGTTCACTAGATCACCTAAAGATTGTTTTATACTATTATCAGACACAATATTTGAAAAGTGAAAAGTATATACCTATGTAGTTGCCGTAACGATAATATGATTCAATGCTTCCCATACTTGTAGTTGCACACACGTTGACTCTAAGTCCACACAAGTGTTTCACATGGTTAATGGGAATATTTTAATTTCGATAAAGGAAGAGTAGAAAGTTATCAAAAACCAAAGGAGAGATGTTAAATAGCTAAGTCAGCTTCAGTTTAAGTGTAATGAACTAGTGATCATATTTGTAGTGTTGTAGGATAGAGATACTTAAAAGACAACTAAGAGATCGTGTGTTTTGGTCTTTACATAGCAGACCATATTTGATCTTAAGTTTCAGTTCAATGTGATGGGCCCTTAGGGCACTTGCATTGGAGTATATTACCAGCGTCCCTCTCCTATTTTTACTTAAAAATAAATCAAAAAAAGAGAAATAAGGAAGGACGTTAACGAAAACGCGACGGTCCTTTGCTTCTTCTTTCCCAATTCGCGGGCCCCACTGACATGTGGCGGCCCGCAATTGGTTTCTTTTTTTTTTGAAAAAAAAATCTAAAAATTAAAAAAAAAAAAAAAAAAACTAGAGTGAGGGACTAATAACGGATGCCCATGCTCTTAGATTTAATTGCTATGTTCTTGACCAAACTCGCACTCTTTAAAAAGTCTCAAGTCCCTTTCAGATTTGACAAATTAACGTGCATCTCCCTATCCTCCACAGTGATTTCCTCTAAGAGATTGGGACCACGCATGTAATCGTGTAATGCTCTAGGCAACACAATTCCAATTTTGGATCTTTATATCGGTATTGATTATAATGAAATTTTTGGGTCTACGTCAAGTTGACAAGACCCCATGAGAGAGGTAGAGATAGAAATGGAACATATTTTTCTAGGGTTTAAGGGTTTTTACTCACACTATATATCAGTATACCAACCTGGTAAGCCGTAAGCACCTACCGGGAGATATAGACTCTGATGGTTGGTCGATGGACCTAAAGATATCAAAATGAGTCGTCGGTTCAGCTCGATTTTTGGAAAGTTCGAGCTCTGTTTTTAGACTCATTTAACAATTAAGTTAATTACGTGATCGATATATAATTAATAATTTATACTTAAGAAATTGATACATTTTTACATGTTTTAAAGAATGAAATTGGTTAAAATCTAGTTTCTAATGGTTTTCCAAATTGATTCTACGGATACACATAAGTCAAAAGAATTTATTTCTTTTATATCATAAACTTCTACCAATTGGTATACATACATATTTACACGAAGAGGGGACTTAACAAAGTTCAAATGTTGCATGTAATGTTTTCGTTTAGAAAGCATGGTCATTTTCAATTAATTTTCTTTATTTTGTTAAATGGTTTTCTCTAGCATGTAATACATTTATGATTAATAATCAAAATTCTTTTAAACACCATTAATATGAATACCATTATGAGTTTTATAATTGATTTACTGTTAAAAATAATATCTTTGTAAAGAAAAAAAAAACTTAAAATATAATATTTGGATGTTGAAAGAAAAAAAAAAACACACCCACACAACACTACACCAGAGAAACATGATTTTCACGATGATCTTGTCCATCACACAACAACTCTCACATTAATTATTTTGCCTATCATTTACAAACGCAAAAATACATATAATAAACCGTGCACTCCGTCACGTAGTTTACTTTACTTAGATTTTGAAACACCCTTTGGAGGAATTAAGGAGAAGAGATGAGACAGTTTTTGTTAGTGATAACCATTGTACTACTGCGTTGGGCTTTCTCCGTGAGATGTAGCAATGATTACAGCAAGAATGATTTCCCCGAAGGTTTCGTTTTTGGATCAGCCTTTTCTGCTTTTCAGGTTTGGGAGCTGTAACTTCATTTCATATAGCATTTTCGACATTTTCAGTGATGTTAATATGTTTTGTTTTTTGGATCTTTGAAAAGTGGGAAGGAGCTGTTGATGAAGATGGAAGGTCACCTAGCATTTGGGACACATATCTTCACTCTGAGAATGGACATGGACGTATTGAAGATGGAGACTGTGATGGGTATCATAAGTATAAGGTTGGTCACAGTGATATGTTCTTGTGTGTGTTTGTTTGGTAGCTCAAAACTCAAAATATTTGATATTTTTGTTTCAGGAGGACGTAAGGCTAATGTATGAGATGGGTTTAGATGCTTTTCGACTCTCCATTTCGTGGCCGCGACTTATACCAAGTGTGTGTGTGTGTGTGTTTGTGTTTCTTGCCAAGTTTTGTTACCTTTCTCTGAGTTTGTTTTTTTTCTTCAGGTGGAAGAGGTCTTGTGAATCCAAAGGGCTTACGGTTTTACAAAAACCTCTTAGATGAACTCACAAGATATGGTGAGACGTGATTGTATATATATAAATCCTCTGTTTTGGAAGAACATGAATTTGAGTTTGTAAAGGGTTCTCTGTTTGGAGAGTACAGGAATCGAACCGCATGTTACGTTGTTTCACAATGATCTCCCTCAGGCTCTTGAAGATGAATATGGAGGATGGATTGACCGCAAAATCATGTATAGCTAGCCAATATTTTCCTTGCAGCGATGTGTGCTCTCTAAGTCAAAGGGTGTGTTGTCTTATATTATCATCTTCTGTTGCAGCGATGACTTCACGGCTTTTGCAGAGGTTTGCTTTAGAGAGTTTGGGAATGAAGTGAAACACTGGTCTACGATTAATGAACCCAATATGCTAGCATGGGGAGGTTATGACTTGGGAGTTATACCTCCTATGCATTGTTCTCCTCCCTTTGGAACAGGCAACTGCTCCAGAGGAAACTCTTCAACTGAGCCTTATATTGTACTCCATAACATGTTGCTTGCACATGCATCTACCGCGAGATTGTATAAGCAAAAGTATAAGGTAAAGCTTAAAATTCATGATCTCTTCTTGAATGCTTGACTTACCTCTCTCTCTCTCGTTGTCTCTTGTGTGATGTTTTTGTAGTATAAGCAGAATGGATCTGTAGGTATAACCTGTTATGCGTACTGGATGGTTCCTTTTACTAGCTCTCAAGAAGACAAGATCGCAACTCAAAGAGCCAAAGATTTCTTTTTAGGCTGGTTTGTTGGATTTTTTTAAAAAAATTTTGTGTTACTAAAATTCTTCTTTGGCTGCTTTGCTAAAGAGGGCAAGAACTTTATTCATTTCTGAATTCCAGGGTTCTGCACCCACTTGTGTTTGGAGACTATCCTGATATAATGAGGAAAATCGTGGGAAAGAGATTGCCAAGATTTTCGAAAGACGAATCAGATCTTGTTAAAGACTCATCTGATTTCTTTGGAGTCATACATTACACAACAATGTACATCAAACACTTATCTAGTTCTTACCAAGGAGATTTTAATTCAGACATGAATGCTGCACTAATCCGTATGCTTTTCTTCTTATATTGAGATCTTTTGTATGGGTTTTTTTTTTCTTTTCTTTGAATTTAGCAGACTTGACTCTTTATTTATTTTCTAGGACAGCCTTTGGGAATTCTA